ACCTGACTGCTAACCAGAAGGCTGGTGGTTCAAACCCACCAGCCACTCCTCGAAAGGAAGATGGGGCAATCTACTTTCGTAGTGATATTGCCTTGGAAACCCAAGGCGGGGTTGCTATGAGTCGGGTCTGACTCGATGGCACATAACAACAGCAGCATTCAATTGATGAGTGCTATATACTGAGAAAAAAAAATCACCCTTTCTCTTCTGCATATTCATAAGTTGAGTAACTATGTGTAGGCTTGTTTCTGGATTTTCTTTTCTGTTCTATTTGGACGTCTGTCTGTCCCTGTACTAGTATCGTACTATGTTAATTATTATAGCTTTAAAAGACAATGTTTCTTAAATTGCTTCTCTTAACATGTTTTTTTAGAAAAATCTTGATACCTTGTAATGTAAATCTTCCAACTTTGTTGTTCAAAATGGTTTTTGATTTTCTTGACCTTTTGCATTTCCATTTACCATCATCTTTTCAATTTCTATATATAACATTGCTGCATTTACATACTACTTTATAATCTCCTTTTTTCACTTACAACTTTCCATGTCAATAAATAAATACATTTCTGTTATATTTTCAATAGTGCATAATGTTGTATTTTATGCACTATGTGGAAATTGTCAAACAACATCATTACATTAATGTCATGCAAGTAAAATGTTGCTGAAGATAATTCAAAAACAGGTGCAGCAGTATATTGATAGGGAACTTCCAGAAATGCAAGCTAGATTCAGAAGAGGATTGGAGCGAGGCTGCTGATGTCAGATGGATTTTGGCTGAAAGCAAAGAATACCAGGAAGATGTTTATTTGTGTTTTATTGACTGTGCAAAAGCAATCAACTATATGGATCATGACAAATTATGGATAACAGTGAGAAGAATTGGAATTCCGCAACACTTAATTGTGCTCATGAGGAATCTATACATAGACCAAGAGACTGTCATTCAAAGAGAAAATTAGGCAGGAAGTCTGTCAGCGTTGTATCCTTTCACCCTATTTATTCAATCTGTATGCTGAGCACATAATTGGAGAAGCTGGACTGTCTGAAGAAAAATGCTGCATCAGGATTGGAGGAAGACTCATTAACAACCTGTGATATGCAGATGACACAACCTTGCTTGCTGAAAGTGAAGATGACTTGAAGCCCTTACTGATGAAGATTAAAGACTACCGTCTGCAGTATAGATTACATCTCAACATAAAAAAACCTGAAAATCCTCACAACTGGACCCATAAATGATAAATGGAGAAAAGATTGAAGTTGTCAAAGATTTCATATTTCATGGGTCCACAGTCACCACCAATGGATGAAGCAGTCAAGAAATCGAACATTGAATTGCACTGGGCAAATCTCCTGCAAAAGACCTCTTTAAAGTGCTGAAGACAAAGATGTTACTTTGAAGACTAAAATGCACCTAACCCAAGCCATGTTATTTTCAATAGTTTCATATGCATGTGAAAGCTGGATAATGAATAAGGAAGACTGAAGAAGAATTGATACTTTTGAGTTGTGGTGTTGGTGAAGAATACTGAAAGTACCATGAACTCCCAGAACTAACAAATCCATCCTGAAAGAAGTGCAGCCGGAATGTTCCTTGGAAGCGAGAATGGCCAGACTTCGTCTCACCTACTTTGGTCATGTTGTCAGAAGGGACCATTCCCTGGAGAAGGATATCATGCTTGGTAAAGTGGAGGGTCAGCGAAAAAGGTGAAGCTCTCAATGAGATGATGTACACAGTGGCTGTAATGGTGGTCTCAAGTATAGCAAGGATTATGAGGCTGGTACAGGACCAGGCAGTGTTACATTCTGATATACATAGGGTCGCTATGAGTTGGACCTGATTCAGCAGCACCTAACATGGTATTGATGATTACAACTTTTTTTCCTTTACAAGCAGCACTGTAATGAGCAATCTTAATTACTTATTGTGTTTTCTGGATCTCCATAATTACTTCTTTGATAAATTTTTAAGAATTAGTTTGTATCACAAGTATTGAGTGCCTTTAGGGTTCCAAGCCCTGGACTTTGTGTTGTGGGAAAAACTGAGATGAGTAAGACACCTGTCCTTGATCTCCAGTTTATAGTCTGGAGATTATAAGGCTTACTCATAAATAACTACAATTACGTATAAAATGAGAGACAGTATATTAAATGGTTAAAATCATGAACTCTCTGGAGCAAGAATACCTGTATTTAAAAACCTGGCTCCTCTACTTGCTACCTATATGACTCTAGACAGTGACTTCTCCTCTTTGTGCCTCAAATTCCTTAACTGCTTTTTTAAAAAAAGAATGAATAAGAGTAGCCTTCTTAAGGAGTTGGAAAGTATAGATAAAATAGTAAGCACTTGCCTGAAACAAGGTGTTAAGTGTTACCTATTAGCATGATTGTTTCTAGAAAGATAGAACCATAAGAGGTCCTAAGAATATATGTTGTACAAGTAGGCACTTTTAAAAAAATTTGTGATTCTTACTGTTTATTATCTCCCTAGGATCTCTGAAGTCTGTTTTGACATAGTGTTTGGCTCATAGTAGACAAGAAGATTTATTGAGTGAGTGAATAAATGAATGTGAATGTATTCTAGAGAGACTGGTTTATCAATTGAAATAATTATGCTGATCTTTTTTTTTCTGATTTCAGTTTTGAAAGATTAGAAGTCCTGGCTGTATTTGCCTCCACAGTCTTGGCACAGTTGGGAGCCCTTTTTATTTTAAAAGAAAGGTATATTTATATATAATGTTCCTGGTTTGAGTGGGTCTGCAAATTAATATGAGCAATGGTGGAATTTTGATAATACAGTTTCTTCATGTTTCAGTCTTCTTTTATTACCTTCTTTAATGCAACTAAATTCATTCATAAGTGGTAATGAATGAAAAAAAAATCAGTCAAGTTTTGTTGCTTATTAAAAAACCTATGGGAATAAAAGAAAGATTGACAGAACTGTATTTTTATGCACATAACGTGTGCATTACATTTTGCAACTTTTGGAAACTGTGCAACCCTCTTGCACATTAGTTTCCTGTGCATACTATGTGCTGTATGTGCGTGTGTGTGTTATTGCATGACATGTGTGCCAACTATATTGACTTTACTATTTTGATCAATTTAATTCAGAAAAATCTGATCTGTGCAATGTATTGCAAGCCAAATCCTATTAGCATTTATACAAAATTACATCAAAAATTGCTTGTAAGGAGATATGTTATTTGCAAAAAATACGGTACATAACTGAGGATAATTTGTGAGTCTGTTTGCCTTATCACTGCTAATAATCAATAATTTATTATCATAGTAAAAGATTTTGTGAGCTTTAAATTGGATTATTTGGGTGTGTGTGTGTGTGTGTATATATATGTATGTGTATATATATATATGTATATATATGTATGTATATATTTAGCAAAACTTTCTAATTTAGTAATTCATAGAACTTATTTAATACCATATACACTGTTTCTTTCTTTTAGTGCAGAACGCTTTTTGGAGCAGCCTGAGATACACACGTGAGATTTTATTTTTGACATAACATGTAATTTACTATTAAATTTGATTCCCAACTATGGTGGATTATTAGAGAATGGTTGCTTTTCCCAGTATCAAAGTTCGAAGTGTGGCCATATACATTTTCACTGATATTTCAAAAATAAAATCCCCCAGATCCCAAGACTTTTCCTCTTTACCCTTAACTATTCCCATGGCTACACAAGATACTACACAATAAGGATAAGACTTTCCTATCCCAGCTTCAGTTTCCTCATTATTTCCAGGCCTCGGTCAACACAGTAAGCCAGCCCCCTCTAACCTTCTATAACTTAAATTTTGACCCCCCCAAAATCTTTTAGTAGCCATTATAGAAAAGATAGAATTGTTGTTATCTAAAACATAGATGCCAACTATATTGACTTTACTATTTTGATCAATTTAATTTAGAAAAATCTGATCTGTGCAATGTATGGCAAGCCAAATACTATTAGCATTTATACAAAATTACAACAAAAATTGCTTGTAAGGAGATATGTTAACCCTAAGAGTCCTTTTTTGTCCTTTCTAAGAAGGAACAGCAATAGACAGGACATGAGTTATGGGACTGGAAGCTAAGTTCAGATTTTGACTCTACAAATATCAACCCATTGAAGCAGATGACTCCACCTTGCCACCTTTTAGTATCTCTGCCTACAGCATGAAAAATTACATAATGATGTTGCCAAGAAAAAAAATAATAAAGGTGGTATTATTGTTTTTCTCTTTAGGGGAAGATTATTAGTTGGTACATTTGTGGCTCTTTCTTTCAACCTGTTTACAATGCTTTCTATTCGGAATAAACCTTTTGCTTATGTCTCTGAAGGTATGTTTTTTATTTACCATTAATTAAAAAATCCAATTAATATCTTATAAAAACAAGTCTTTTGTTTCATTGACTTCTGTTTATTAATGAAAAAGTGGATTCTGAAAAGAATAGAGAGCTAGCTCAAAGGTTCTCAAGTCTTCTGGAAGTAGAGAATTAGAAAACAAAAATCTCATTAATTCAAGCTTTAAAAGAATAAATAATTTAAAGACAGGCAGGGTTGACTTATATATTAAATTACCTGTGATGAAAATTTACATTTATCAAATAATGTGAATGAGATTTTAAACGTTTAATCTACCTAAGAAAAACCTATTGCAAGCGTTTTATAGGCATCAGTACACTTAATATAACCTGCTGCCTTTGAGTCAATTCTGACTCATAACGATCTTAAAAGATGGAGTCGAACTGCCCATAGGATTTCTAAGGCTATAAATCTTCACAAAAGCAGACTGCCTCAGCTTCCTTTCATGGAGTAGCTGGTGGGTTTGAAACGCTGGCCTTATGGTTAGCAGCTGAATGTTCTAACCACTATGCCAGCAGACCTCCTTACACTAAGTATAGTTGATGTATTAATTGCAAATTGTATTCTGTTAAGTAAGTTTCCAGGAACTTCTTTTTGACAGTGGTGAATGTGCATATATTTGAAAGTAGCAAAACTGTTTCTCCTGAAGGATTTTTATTTTCCAGTTCTTATAAATTCAGAATTTTTCGTATCAGTGATCTAAATTATTGCTGTTTTTTCAGTAATTTTGGTGTTTGGGAATCCACTAACCCACAAAGGATTTATCACTAATTGATACAGAAGTGAGGTGAAAACAAAAGTGGAACATGTGCACAGACCCGTACTTTAAGCTTAGAGAAGCACAGATAGGTGAGGGCCTTTTCTAGGTCTTACTAACTTGAAAATTAGACAAGAGACAAAGCTTTCTGTAATATCCATTCGAGCTTAAATAACTTCATGAATGTGTGGATTGTAATTGTATCAGAATTTAAGAATCACTGAGTGAACTAGAAAATGAAATAATATTTGAGATGACCAGAATTTTTTTAAAAACCCTTTTATAAATTATAAAAATTGTATAATGCTTACTCTAGAAATTTAAAAAAGGTACATTGATTTAGATACAGTATCTCTGTAAAGATCAGAAAAGTAAGAAAATACGAACACTGATTTCACTATCCAGACATACATAGTATCTGCAAATATTTCTATTTTATTCCTTTCATTTTTTGCCAATACACACATATCTTCTCTTTTTATGTACTGTATATGTAATTTTAAGTCTGGCTTTTTTCAGTTAACATGTCTTGAGTATTGCCTCTTGTTAAATACTCGGAATAAATGATTTTTGAATGCTTGCGTAATATTCTATCAAACAGATATTTTAAAGCAGTCTATTGTTTTACATTTCTTTTTCTCTTATAAATAATGCTGTAATAAGTTTCTTCATATGCAGTATATTCTCTGCATTTCTGATTATTTCTTTATGATAATTTCCCAGAGAAGGAATTGTAAACTGGATTAAAAAAAAATACAGCCTTTTAAAAAGGCTCAAATATATATAGCCAAACTTATTTCTGAAAAGATTGTCTAGTTTGGATTTTCATTAATTGGAGATAAAGCTTCCCAGAAACATAAAGAGTTATGACATTAGTTATTATTTTAGTGGAAAATAAAAAAAAAGATAACCTTTATGGAGTACTTTCTCTAGGCCAGGCACTCTGTTAAATACTTTACATAGAATAACCCATTAAATTCTGCTCACAAGCATGTGAAGAAATTATTTTATGTCACGCATCTAGTTAAGGGCATAACTGGGATTTGAAGCCAGGTAGGTATTCTGATCTCAGAGTCTCCTCTTTGCTGCTCTATTTCTCTGCCTTTATTTAGGGCATCACATAAAAAAATGAACATTTCTCTACCACCTTGAGATAAATAGAACAAGATGTTTGAGTCTGGAGGGTACTTGTCCATGGATTGTAACTGGCAGGCATCTTTGGATGTACCTAAGGCCCCCACCTGGCCTTTCTAGAGCTGAGGGAATCAATAACCCAATAATAGGTTATATCTATAACCCATTCTCAGTATACTAGCTGGGATGCTCTTTAGCAAAACAAACCAAACTCAGTGCCATTGAGTCGGATCCAACTCTTGAGTTGTATCCAACTCATAACGACTCCTCCTTAGGTTTCCAAGGTGGTATCACTACGGAAGTAGGTTGCCCAACCTTCATTCCGAGGAGTGTCTGGTGGGTTTGAACCGCCAGCCTTCTGGTTAGCAATCAAATGCCTTAGGCACAATGCCTCCAGAGCTCCTGGGAAGCTCTTTAGGGGCCTTTCAAACTTTTGAGTTAGTAGTAACAATGACATATGTAGATTCATTAATTTCTTGAAGTTAGCTGTATATTGTGGTTGAAACTGTGCCTGAGTTAGTATCTTAAGGGCAAAAAAGAGGAAAAAGTTTTAGATTTGAGGAGTAGCACGTCCTTTTATGATGTTTACGGTCATTGCCAAAATCATTCTTAAAAACTAAAGAAATCAAGTATTTCTGGTGGTAGTTTATTCTATATAAATAATTTAAGTATTTTGTTTTTAAAGCTGCTAGTACAAGTTGGCTTCAAGAGCATGTTGCAGATCTTAGTCGAAGGTAAGATGTTACAGAGTTTCATGATACACATAATTTAAAAGGAATGTACAAGTGGTCTCTTTGCCACATATATTTCAAGAATGAAGACTATTCTCAGCAACCAGGCTATTGACATTCCAGAAAATACTGGCATTACTCTTGCAGTTATTGTGACAGGCCCCAGTTACTGTAAAGGATCTCTGCAGAGGGACTTCAGCTGTATCAATGTAGAACTCATTTTCCCTGGAAAGAAAAAGAAGAGGCTTTCGGGTGACAGATGGAGGGGAAATGTAATGGAACTGGCTGTAATTTGCATTATCTGTACTCATGTATAGAACATAATCAAGAGTGTTACACTGGGCTTCTGTTACAAGATGAGGTCTGTGCATGTTGGCGTCCTCATCATTGTTGTTATTCATCAGTAGGCATCTCCAAAATTTCTTTTCTGTTTTTATATTGTTGTAAAAAAATATATATAATCACAGGTAGTTCCCAACTTATGACATATTTGAGTTATGATGAACTGTACCTACAGAAGTCATTTTTTTTTTTTACATACTATTAGTAGCAATATATACTACATAGTGTTGTAGTGTATAATTTGCTGATGTTATCAGACTCCTGCCAACCCTAAAGACAAAGATTGGATTTATAAAAATGCTGGCAATGGAAAGAAAAATGAAATATTTGACTTAGCAGAACCAACTTAGGATGGGACCACCAGAAGAGAATCCATAGTAAATTGGGCACTGCCTGTATAACACAACATTTGCCAATTCAGCACTTTGTACTTGTACATATCAGTGACACTAATTATATTAATCATGTTGTGCAACTATTACCAGTATTGTGAAGTTTTCCATCACCATAAACAAATATTCAGTGCTTCCTAAACAGTGACCCCTGTTCTCCCTCCCTAGTGCCATTGGTAACCACTAGTAAATTTTGGTCTCTGTATGTTTGCCTATTTTAGATATTTCTTATAAGTGGAGTCATACAATATTTGTCCTTTCATAATTGACTTCATTCAGCATAATGTTTTTGAGGTTCATCTATACTATAGCATGTATCAGGACTTCATTTCTCTCTAAGTAGTATTCCACTCCTAGAATTGCTGGGTCATATGACACTTCTACGTTCAACTTTTTGAAGAACCACCAAACTTTTTCACAGTACCGGTTTGTGTTCCCACTAGCAATGGATGAGTGTTCTAGTTTCTCCGTATCCTTGTCACCATTTTTTTTCCTTTAATTTTTTTTTATTTTAGCCATCCTGATGGAGGTGAATGGTATCTAATTGTGATTTTTATTTGCATCTCTCCAATCGTTAATTATTTTGAACATCTTTTCATGTGCTTGTTAGCCAATTGTTTATCTTCTTTGGTGAACTGTCTATTCAAGTCCTTTGCCTGCTTTTTTTGGGTTTTTTTTTTTTTTTTTTGATTGGTTGTTGTGGTAGCTAAGGTTGTATGTCAACTTGACTGGGCCTGGTTGAGTGACTGGGCAGCTGCTGGTAGTTATTCCCCATGATGAGACTGGTAGTCAGCTCCATGGTGGGATCTACCACAAGCAGCTGAGTAGCTGCTTTTGGGATGTGATATACTACCCATATATAAGAAGCAGCTTTGGAAATGGTCTCTAGCTTATGGCACGCTTGAACCCTGCATATATCAGAGTCATTGTTCAGCAGCCTGCCATGCTCTGCTGATCTTGGGACTTTCAATGGACTTGAATTAATGGACTGCCATGTGGTTTGGTATATCAGGACTTTGCCTTGTTACTTGTTGACTTTGGGTCTGTCAGCCTCAGAAGCCAGCAGCTGAGTGAAGAAAAGCCTTCAGCTTCAGTGGGCAGGGAGCGAGAGGCAGAGCCCAAGGTTAAGGGGCTTTCACCCAGCCTCTAGAGCCTGGCACTTTGAACTTGGACTTAAAGTCTCCAAGTTGTAAGAATAAACTCCTGTTTGTTTAAGCCATCCCATTTGGGGTGTATTCTTGTCTGAGCAGCACTAGGTTACCAAAACAGTTGTCTTTTTGTTGTTAAGTTGTAAGAGTTCTATATATATTTTGCATATTAACTCCTTATCTGATGTATGTATGTAGGTTATCTCTTCACTTTGTTGTTAAACTCCTTTGTTGAAGAGAAGTTTTTAATTTTGATAAAGCCCAGTTTATCTGTTTTTCTCTTTTCTTTCTTCTGTTTTTGATGTTATATCTAAGACTCCATTATAAAAACTATGTCCCAAAGCAATATATTTGTTTTCCTCTAAGAGTTTTATAGTTGTAGGTCTTATATTTAAGTCCTCGATCCATTTTAAGTTAATTTTTGTGTACGGTGAGATATGAATCCAGCTTCATTCTTGTGCATGTAGAGATCCAGTTGTTCTCAACACCATTTGTTAAAGAGACTGTTCTTTCCTCATTGTATGAACTTACCATTCTTGTCAAAAACCACTTGTCTATAGGTTTATTTCTGGACTTTGAGTTCTGTATCATTGGTATATCCAAAATATCTTGAATGGAAAATACATTCTTAGATGAAAAAATTAAATAATAATAATAATTAAAAAAATACATTCATAGGGTTCAGATGAGGCCAAGTGTTGTTTGTCCAGAATTTCAAGCCCAGAAAGGGGAGTTAATTCTTAAAGGATATGACACTGAACTTGAGCTACTTTAATTTAGCAAGCATGGGAGTTAAAAATACGGATATCAGAAAATTTTTTGTATAGTATCTATGTATCTCTGAAAAAGAAATGTTTCAGCAGGCTGATGAATAAGATCTAAGAGTTGTCCAACTACAGAAATGAGACTAGATGATTCCTAAGGCCCATTGTTGTTATCTTTAAGAAGCAATTAAAATTAATCTTTTGAGGAGAAAAAAAAATGCATTAGAAATACATTGTGGGAACTTCAGTTACTTATTGCTGAGGTTACTAAATGATACTCACAAATTAGATTCTTTTATTTTCCTACAGATCAAATTCTTTATCTCAGATTACTACTTCTGACTTTTTAATTGATGATAGAAAAGAGATTTTTATATGTCAAAAAAGCATTTTTCCCAAATCCTCTTTGCTTTCTTTTTTTTTTTTTTAATTGTATTTTTAACCAAAGACAATCTTTTATTACACTTACTGGTTTATGATTGCATGGAAGAATTCAGCCCTACCAAAGGTAACTATTAAAATGTAAGAAAAGCTCTTGGGCAGTTTGGCACGGGATGGTAAGTTCATAAATTAATTGGGACCAATTGTGCCTGTCACAGTAAAAATAGTTGCCAAATACATTTCTTGGCTCTGATACTCAGCAAGTTGAACATGTTCCCCACAAGTTATTAGACCAAATGCTTAGGTTTGCTGAGCTGAAGCTCATCATGGTAGTTGGTCATGCCAGGTTCCTGGACTTCATATTCTGTCCCTGCTGTAGCTGATCATCCTGAGGTCATAGCCTCCTAGGCTGAGCTAAGGCTGCCAGCTATTAACTCTACACTGTGGATCCTACTCTCTAGCTCTCAGTTGTTAAACCTCGTGATATGCCAATGTGCCGAACTCCCACACAGCTGCTGGTGACCCTTCAAATTTTTAACCTCTCTGAGATGATAATCTTGTCTTCAGTGTTCTGCAGTTGGTTTACAATCTAGCTCCCTTGAATTTGTATACTGTATATGGCTGCCATGGGAAATGGTGCCGCACTCCTTTGGGAACCGTAGGCTGCAGCAGCAATGGCCCTGTCAAACACACACACAACCCATCAGCCTTGGCCCATGTGGGCAGCTAGGTCCAGCGCAACCACATGTGACTCATGTCTACACAGCCACAGCACCCACACCGAGGACCACGTGAGAACAGGTGCCCTTTTCTCTGCAACTATGTTTTCCGAAAACACCATTCCAGAAGTTAGAGAAACTCTTACTCCTTATTTGCCCTTAGTGCCAACTATTGACTCCAAAAGATGTTGTAACACTAAAATACAAGTCATGTTTTACAAGGTTTTCAGCTTTGTTACTTAAGTTCTACTAATGAATACTTTTTTGTTTGTTTCTCTTCATAGCTTATGTGGAATTATTCCAGGACTTAGCAGCATCTTCCTTCCCCGAATGAATCCGTTTGTTTTGATTGATCTTGCTGGAGCATTTGCTCTTTGTATTACATATATGTTAATTGAAATTAAGTAAGTACTTTTTATTACTGTTAAGTGTGTTATCAATTTCTGGGCTTGTCTTTGAAGGGCATTGGTAGGATGGATAGGGGCCAAACTTAATAATGTTTTTGATGATGATATGTGTAACTTGGGTCAAACCTTATCGTCAAGTGTCTTCATCTGAAAAAATAAGGCAGTTGAATTAAATAAGTCCTTTTCACAATACTCTGTGATGCAGACTGAAAAGACTATCTAGATTTCCTCCTGCTGACCTGAGTGAAAGAGAGAAGGCATTAACACTGAGATCTAAGCCACAGCAGCTATTGCTGATAGAGACGAGAAGAAGAAGTGAGTGTGAAATAAAATAAATAAGCCTTTTAGCAGATAGACTTTATATCTGCTTTAACCATTACATATTATGAATTATGATTCTTGGGCTACCCATCCTTTGAATATTAGTTTTTCCTAGAGTCTGCCCTAGACTAGGAAGAAGGAAGAGGCCGTCCATTTCTCAAAGAATTGGCCAGGGAAAACCTTATGAATAGCAAAGAAACACTGTTTGATACATTACCATGCAACTTTATGAATACTCTGGTTAGGTTAGAAGGCTCTCAAAATAGGACTGGAAAAGAGCTGCATCATCTGAGTAAACTCAGCCTTACTCATATGGATAAGGTAAAGCTTTCGAGACCTCCATTTGCTGATGTGGCATCACTCAAATTGAAGAGAAACAGCTGCAGATATCCATTAATCATCGGAACATGTAATGTACGAAGTATGAATCTAGGAAAATTGGAAGTTGTTAAAAAGGAAATGGAACGCATAAAGATCAATATCCTCGGCACTAGTGAGCTGAAGTGGACTGGTTTTGGCCAATTTGAATCAGACAACCATATGATCTACTATGCCGGGAATGACAGTTTGAAGAGGAATGGCGTGGCATTCATCATCACAAAGGATGTTTCAAGATCTGTCCTGAAGTACAATGCTGCCAGTGATAGGATAATATCCATACGCCTACAAGGAA